AAGTTCAAAAGAACAGCATTTATTTGAAATAGAAATCTTTTTTGACATTATAAATGTCTTTACTCTCACTTTTGATCAATTTAATGCATCCTTGATGAATAAAAGCATTAATTTCTCCTTTTTTATCTTACTGACCACAGATCTTTCAACAGTAGTGTATGGTGCATTAAAGGTAAGCAACTCTGATCTTCAAGAAAATGGGCACCCAATCACTCTAACTGACCATATGTCCCGTGTGTGCTTAACTGGAGAAATAATTGAGAGTATTTGTAGATTAACTGAATAACTATAACTTAATGGAGATGGATGGAGGTGTTGGTATCACACACATAAACGCTCAAAAGACTCACAGAAGCAGAGAGACTCTGGAGACTCTTATTGTGCCAGCATCACTGCCGAAGAACCGCTAAGGGCACTAAACATGTCCACCTCAACTCTGAGTGTTTGTGAGTTACTTCTCTCTGTGCTACCATAGTAAACTTCCTGGATGACGGATGAGAACGGCTTGACTGATGATCTTCAAGCCATAGTGTGAAGTGACTGAGACGAGGAGACATGCTGGAATATGAGACTCACAGTACTGACTGTCTTTGAACTGTCAGGGTTCGATAGTCCACTTTAGATGTTCTACTGACTATAAGTGCAACTCCATGTCAACTTATTCTACTAACCCCAACCCTAACCTCACAGTTTACTAATACTCTAGTGAGAGTTAGTTGACATGTAGTTGCAAAGTTACTTCAGTAGAATGTCTAAAGTGGACTGGAAATAATCTGGTGTTCATGTTGTATATCCAGCATCAGGATCCTGTCAGAAATAGCAGCGCTGAGGTCCAGACCACGAGCGGAAACCATCCACAGGTTCCTGTCGGTTTCTGGAGCTGTTTTAAATGACTGCTTCAGCTTCACGCGGTCAAGAGCTCTTTAACCCCTCCATCTCTGCATCAGACGCACTCAATCACACACACGCTACATTTCATCTCTCTGTCTTTTGTCTGAAACGTTCCCTCTCTTTCTTTCTCTTTCCCGCTGTAATGGATTACATATGTTCCTCATTTAAGCGAGGCGAGTGACTGTGATTTATTACTGTAACACAAAGACTCAACAGAGCCGATTCAGATGAGAAAGAGCGGTCTGACAGACTAACAGAGGATCTGCAATGAGATAATCAATAGATCGTCAATGAAAGTGGCTCTGATGATAGTGAAGATGAAAGAGGACATGCAGGTGTGTGTGTGTGTGTGTGTGTGTGTGTGTGTGTGTGTGTGTGCGTGTGCGTGCGCGTGCGTGTGCGTGTGCGTGTGCGTGTGCATGCGTGCGTGCGTGCTTGCGTGTGTGTGGAGCCTCTATTGAAGTCGTATGTTGGGTGCAGTTGTGCAGGGATGCAGTCCAGCTGTGTCTTGGCATCAGAGAGACTAGAAATCACTGCATTTATTCAGAGAAATGACACCGAAAGTTAAAAACACTGGAAGATCCAGAATGAACGACGGCTGGAAATCACATTTAAACTCCAGCAGAGCGTCAGCTCGCAATTCAGCAGGTGCAGAGCGATTACTCTGACATGGAAAACATAAAATTCAACAGAAGAACAGTGATGGACTTTAATGGGAAGCGGACAACAAAAAAACAATGTGACTGTTCTCGATGGGTGGAGACACACCAAACATTCCTGGAGTAAATCTCCACACAGCACTTGTCATTAAATGCCCAACCCTGAGGACAGCAGTCGACTCTCTCTTCAGCCACACATCAACAACGTCTTGATTATTCCTTGAGATTCAACGAGAGACATTTGCTAATGTGTCAGATATTTCTCCTGAGAAAAAGAAACTTTCCCCCAACAGAGTTTCAAAAGAAGATCTCAAAGCCTGCAAACACAAGTCACTGAGTTCTTTATATAACTCTCAACTCTTACTGGATGACATTACAGACACTGTGTCTTGGGGATTTTAGGGGAAAAACCCTTTGATACTCAATGAGACGTAACTGAGAACCTAATCGAGCTTTAAAAGAAAAAGCTGTGAGCCGCCCCACGGCAGAAAAGTGAAAACTGCTCCTACAGAATGAAAAGCAACACGCAGCTCTTTCACACACAGTGCTGTCTGATTCAATCAGTGCAATCACACACACAACACACACACAGATCAGAGCAACTAAATACAGCTGTCATCCAAATCAATAAAAGCCCTGAATGCAGTGAGACTGATTCATGGAGAACTCAGAGAGAGAGCTGAGCTTACCTTGTCTGGTGGAGAGTTAGCAGACCAGAGGGAAACTCACTTCACCTCATCATAGTTTAGCTGTAAATCAGCTGCAGACTGCAGGAAAGAAGCCGCCTGTGCTGAGGATTCAGACTTTAGTCCAGGATCACTGCTGCTCGGAGCTCATTGCTTTCTCATTAGTCATTTCAGACTCTTCTAAACTCAACTCCAGAGTTAGTGAAAAGAAAGACGGCCGCAGCACTGGATCCTCCCCCTGCTCTCCTCTCCCCCTCCACCTCCATTCTCTGGCTGTTCCCATGCAGCACACACACACAGACACGCACACACACAACACACACACACACACACACACACACGCAGATGCCTACACGCACACACTGACAGAACTGATCAACTGAATGAGATATTCAAGACAAACAGCACACTGAGCCATCAATACACTGTGATCAGAATACATTCATAAGGAGCAATGCCATAAAAACTGTCATCACTTCAGCAACACATTAAAACGGACTTAAAACTACAAGAAAACAAAAAGTAGGCTTCTAACAAAATTAAACATATCAAAATATTTAAAACTTTAACTAAAAGCAAACATAAAATACTAATAAAGTTACATATACCAAAATACAAACTTGTGAAGTTTAAAACAAAAACAAAAAGTACTAATAAAATCAAACATTAAAAAAAACTTTCAATTTTAGTTTTTAAATTATTATTATTATTTTTTTTTTTTTTGCAGATTTTAACAAAAAGTAATAAACGTTTAGTAACCCTATTAGTTTATTTTCTTTATTTTTATATAATTATAACTTCAAAACTGTACACATTTTCATCCCTACAGAAAAGAAAATCACAAGATATCTCTTAAATATCTATAACAATGTCTCAAACTGTGCTCAGATTCAGATTTTAGATCATGAGAGTCATTGTATAGCACTGTACACTGCAAAAATGTTCTTACTCTGTATTTTTGTTGTTTTCCAGTATAAATGTCTCAACAATACTATCAATACACATTTACGAGAAGCAGAATTACTTAAAATATTATTTATTCTTATTTTCTGAATTTTTTTTAATCAAAATTACGTTTTTAAAGTAAGTGTTTTGTTGAAAAAAACAAATGCCCATGTGGTTAAAAAAACTTGTTTTCCCTTTAAATTACGTTTTTTTTTCTGACCCCATTGATAGATATTTTTACTTGTTTTGATGAGTAATTTATTATTATTTTTTTAAGGTTTGGATATTTGTACTAAAAAACAAGACAAAAATACTCAGTAAGAAAATAACTCTTTTCAGTGTAGATGTCATCAGGATGTCAACTATTGGCTCGTTTGCCTCTATTGTTATTTCTTCAAGCATTAAATCTCCCTGAGTTATTAAAGAATAGCATCTGAGCAGCACAATCATTCTCTGGCTCACTAGTGTTCACAGTTTATTCACTGTCGTCTGTGTAACCGAACCCTGTTAGTCACATGACCTCTGGCCAGACTCTTGAAGACAGCCGTTCATTGGTCTTCTGAAGGCACAGGAATGCTGCATTACATAACATGGCTTTGTGTGTGGTGATCTCTGATAGCTGGTTAATGACTGACAGCGGTTCCCCACAGCAGAGAGCAGCACATGAGTGGAGAACATCACTGATGTGTGTGAGATCTGCTGTGCTGCATGCTTCATGTGCATCTACTGCTGGAATGTCCTGCTCCTGCACTGTGAATGTGTAATTTACTCCTGATGAAGGCTGGTTCCTGCTTCTGTGCGGGGTACGCCACCTATAGTGAGCTGACGGTACTGCAGCGAGCAGATGTAGCTGCCCTGATATTAATGCATGCTGTGTGCAATCCGAGACCAGTTTAAAATCACACTTCATAGCTCCACAATGGTATAAACTCACAATGGCAGCACAAAAGCACTTCCAGTGGCACATTATTATTTATTGGTTTATGAAACAGTAGTATGAATGCAAGGGATGCACGTTTACTGGATATTTCACATGAATCACTCAGCTTGTTGAAACACTGTGTTGTGGTTCAGTCTCATGACTGTACTTTGACCCCCACAAAACAAGTTCATCCACCTTTCTTATCTCTCATTGATTCATCCGGCACGCTGCTTCGCTGTGATGAGTCCGGCCTACGCATGGCTTAGTCATTAACATACGGCAGATGAACACAATCAGCTCTACATCAAAGCATTCTGGGACAGTATGTCGGGGCAGAACTGTTAAAAGGACAACGTTGTGCCTATACTCACCCTCAGTTCATCCGAGATCAGGATGAGTTTGTTTCTTCATCAGATTTGTAGAAATGTAGTAATATGTAACCAAAAATGAAAAAAAGATTAAACAAATCCATCAAGATGGATTTTTAACTCAAATACAAGTCCATAATCCATAATAATGCTTCCTCCAGTGAAAAAGTGCATCTGCTGTTGTCTCTCACATCAAAATCCAGCCACATATGTGTTTAGAGCTGTTTAAACGCTGCTTGATCTGTGCAGATTTCTCTCCTGATTCACACCAGAACACTTTTTCACTGCAGGAAGCCTTATTATGGATTATGGACTCATATTTGAGTTAAAAGCGTCTTAATGCTGGATTTGTCTCAGCTTTTGTCTTCTCCAGATGTTAACTGATGGACTGGAGTGCTGTGGATTACTTGTGGATTATTGTGATGTTTTTATCAGCTGTTTGGACTCTCATTCTGACGGCACCCATTCACTGCAGAGCATCCATTGCTGAGACACTGACGCCATGCTACATTTCTCCAAACCTGATGAAGAAACAAACTCATCCTGATCTCGGATGGCCTGAGGATGTTTTCAGCAATTTTTCATTTTTGGTTACATATTACTACTTTAATCTTCACTGGGGCAGGACTCTTATAGGGACACCTTCGTCCCTTATTTACCCCTAAAAGGTTTTTAGTAGCACCTTAAGGGTACATATTACTACTCTAAAGCAGAACTTCTCAAACCCGTCCTGCCGACCCCCCTAGAACAGCACATTTTGAATGTCTAACACACCTGATTCAGCTCACCAGCTCATTAGCAGAGAATGCAAGACGTGTCTGATGAGGGAGGCTTACTAAGTGTGCAGTGGGGGGTCGTCAGGACAGGTCTGAGAAGCACTGCTGTAGGGTAGGCACTTCTAGGCTTAAACAGTGTACAAAGTTGTCCCTTTGAGGGTCCAATCCTGCTTCTGAAGGGCCACTGACCTGCAGAGTTGAGCTCCAGTCCCATTTAAACACACCTGAACCTGCTAATCAAGGCCTTTGGGTTACTAGAAATGTCGGGGTGAGTGTGTTGGGGCATGTTAAACTCTGCAGGACATTGGCTCTCCAGGAGCAGGATTAGACACCTCTTCCCTAAAGGTACACATGTATCATCACATGCTTTGAAGAAAAATTCCCCCCAAACATTTATACAACTAAAGCAGAAACTCATTAAGCACTCTGTACAGTATGTGATTGTGCTGTTAAATAAAAGCACTAAACGGTCCCGTTGGAGCATCCCGCATGCGCTGACCACTCACTTATGAAACTCTCCTGTTTATTTCCATCAAATTCATAAAGAGCCTCAAACTTCACGCTTGTGCATTTAGTGACTTTGCACTGAATGGATGCTGCACCTTTGACTTCTCGGAGCGAGCAACGAATCGCACCTTCATCATCGCCATCAACCGGGATCTCAGTGACGTTTGGGACGGAGGAGCCTTGAAGCTCAGAGCTGGAGTTTTTCCCGCAGACGAGCTGCTCCTTGTCCACAGACACCAGGCGGTGTCCTCGAATAACCTCAGGAGCTTCACAGTAAACCCTCGTCAGATCCTCCACGTTCCTTTCGTTGTACCTCAGCCAGTCAAAGAAGTACTGTAACCCGCAGTCACAGCGCCAGGGGTTTCCGTGAAGCTGGACCACGCACTGGAAGTCCAGGTCATCGAAGAAGCCTTGTGGGATGCTCTGCAGGCTGTTCATGGACAGGTACAGCTGCTCTATATCGTGCTGATCCTTCAGCAGGTTCGCTTCCAGCGAGCTCAGTTTGTTTTTCTGCAGATGGATGGCTTTTATACTAAACAGCCCATTGAAGACAGAGCCAGGCAATGCTGTAATCCGGTTCTCAGACAGATCCAGTTTTTTCAGCGAGATGAGGTTCTGAAAGAGATCTGAAGGGACTCCGGACAGCTGATTCTGAGACAAGTCCAGATACGTAATGTGATGCAGTTTGTGAAAGATGGTGTGGGGCAGCTGCACCAGTGCGTTCTTCTTGAGGATCAGCTTCCGCAAACCGGACGGGAATGTTTCAGCGCTTAGGTTGCTTATGAGATTGCTTCGGAGGTTCAGCTCCTCCAGGTGATCCAGGCGGGTGAAGATCCCATCCGGAAGCTGTGAGATGGTGTTGGCCTGCAGCGAGAGTGCTCTCAGGAGAGAGTTGTTCTGGAAAACATCCGCTGAGACGGAGCTGATGTGGTTGAAGGACAGGTCGAGTTCCTGCAGTTTGTGGAGACGATGGAAGAGGAGTCTGGGCAGATAAGACAAGCCGTTACCCCTCAACTGCAGCGCTTCCAGTTTATGCAAAGAGTTGAAAATGCCAGCGTCCAGAGCGCTGATCTTATTATTGTTGAGTAACAGTCTCGTAAGGTTGGCCAGCGAGCGGAAGGTCTGCACCTCAAAAGTCAACCAGTAATAGTTTCCACTGATCTCCAGCTCCTGCAGCTCAAGCAGACGGTTGAAGGCGTCGTGAGAGATCTTTTTCACGAGGCTGTTGAGAACGACCAGCTTAGTAAGTGTGAGGTTCTCTCTGAAGGAACGGCCATCCAAAAGTGTGACGCCCGACGCCACTACAATCAGTTCTCTCACCTGCGCTGAGATGTTGAGAGGTAAAGCTGTCATGGACTCGTCTGAGCAGACGACCTTTGCAGCTGAGAAGCACTGGCACAGATCAGGACAGCAATCACAGCAGTGTAGCTGAATCAGGACGAGTACAACCGCTGCCCACTGTTTGCTCATGTCTTCTGGGACAAGAAAAGCCACAGTTCACTTTCAGTCACTGCGTCTCTTTGGGGTACATTCATGCTCAAAAAGAATAGATTTTTGCAGTTTTAACTTTTAGAACAGTTCAAAGATCTTGTTTGCTTTTACACGAGCACATAATAACATTTCAGTGAGTAGAGGAAAACATGTTTGATGTCATCAAATGCACGTTAGGTCTTGATGATTGAAAGACACTCACACTTCTATCAGCATGTGCGTTCCCTCAGAAATCAATCCCATGACTTTGATTATTAGCACCAATGATTACATGCTTAACCAGCTGAACTACTGTTGTTCATTTCTACATAAACTAATACATTTTTAACATATAATTCAATATTCATGCATAAATGCAATGAATTAATAACAGTATGTGTATGAATTGACTTTAACCTATAGTAATAAAAGCTGTAAAATAATGTTGTTCATTGCACACGATACCAATGCTAAGGAATTAAACCCGACTGTTAACAATAAAACATAATGAATTACTTAACACCCAGCAAATATGCAATATTATATGTAAAACAGTGATTACCTACCGCTCTATTGTGCACATGCAGCTCGAGTAGAAATAAGCAAATTCCACTTCGACGTCTGTGGTTTTCAGATAAACTCTGTCTGAGTGAACTGACGGTCATTGGTCGGGTCTATCTGTGACTTCAGTCATGGTTTGAAGATCGGCCGCCTCAAACTGCCGTAAAACAAAGAGTACATATATTCATCTTGGTCAAATAATTATCCATTTAGTTCAACATTAATAATTAATTCTCACAAATCTGATGATTATATAGTGGTAGCTACAGGATAGAGGGAGCTTTGATTAGACCTAATCTCAAGACTTATAGATTGACCCATAAAGACAACCGAGTAACAGAAGAGTATATGTTTTTCTGTGGAGCACAGTCTTCAGAGTTATGAAATCCATCTGATACAACCACATCACATTTCCACATACCTGACTTCTGTTAGTTTATGAAAGTATAATAACAAAACTAAATCAAGTTGACAGGCCCCTTATCATGTGTACAACCCTGCATTCACATTAAACCTGACATCTATCGGTATATTAGCTTTTAGTTATTTATTTATTTATTTTTCCAAACAGTGCAATGTTTCAGTGCACGGTCAGATCTTCATCAGGAACACTGTACTGCAGTTTCAGTGTGCAGACATTTATTTTATTTTTTAACTAAATTAATTAACATGAACTAACAATGAAAACGAATTCTAATTCATTTATTCTTTAATCCCAGTTAATGTTAATGTCAGCATTTACTAATACATCTGTTAAATCTGTTAATATTATTTAATGAATGTGAGCTGACATGAGCTGTGAACATTTGTTTACTAACATTAACAAAGATGAATAAATGCTGTAACAAATGTATTTCTCATTGTTTGTCGATGTTAATGCATTAATAATGTTAATGAGAACTTCCCAGCTAACAGAATATGTTTTGTTAATGTTCTCATTGAGGGCCATTAATATTCCATTTTAGTGTTTTGCACACATTATGGGTATGAGAACGTTACTTTTGAGTGTTCTTTTTTTAACTTTCTGAAACAAGTAGTAACATTTAAAAACGTTAGATGAACGTCCAACTACCGTGAATGATGTATAATGTTTTTGTGATAACGTTTTGAGAACATTATTAAACACCAAACTTTGAATTAATGTATGAATTAATTATAACATTCTATTAGCAGTAGTGGAAGAACGTTTGTTCTCTTTGAAAGAACCTTGCCAGAAAGTTAGCTGGATTACTGTAAGGTAACCTTATTAACTAATGTCTAATAAAGTGGTTTGACTGATGCTGTCATAGAGCTCTTCACTTTTATAAGCTCTTCTCGTGATCATGTTAAAATCATCTTTAGCACAAAAAAATATTCATATGATATTATATACCATTTCATTTTATTTGATTATTACATATAATTAATTTATACACGTTTTGTTGTTTATTTATTTTTATTGCCACAAGCTAAAGAATAACAGGTAACACTTTACAATAAGGTTCCATTATTAACTAACATGAACAAACAATGAACGATTACAGTATTTATTCATCTTTGTTAATGTTAGTTAATGAAAATAGAGCTGTTCATGTTAGTTCACAGTGCATTAACTAATGTTAACAAGCACAACTTTTGATTTTAATAATGCATTAGTAAATGTTGAAATTAACATTAGCTAAGATTAATAAATGCTGTAGAAGTATTGTTCATGCTTAGTTCATGTTAACTGACGTAGTTCACTAATGTTCACTAATGAACCTTATTGTAAAGTGTTACCGAATAGTTGCATTATTGCTACAAGCTAAACACTTCTATTTGTTGTGTGAGAGTGCGGTAGGAGGCGCGTGAGGATCCTCAGGTGGAGCTTCAGCGCAGGTGAGGATGATGAGGACGAGGATGATGATGATGCTGGAGGAGTTTCATTCATGTGTCAGCAGCACCGCGAGCGGCTCGAACTACACACTTCACTCCAGCAATGGCCAACGCAGGGCTGCAGCTCCTCGGCTACTCTTTGGCTTCTCTGGGTCTCCTGGGACTCGTCGCATCCACGGCCATGGCCGAGTGGAAGATGCCCTCATACGCCGGAGACAACATCATCACCGCGCAGGACATGTATGAGGGGCTCTGGCGCTCCTGTGTGTATCAGAGCACCGGACAGATGCAGTGCAAAGTCTACGACTCCTTACTGCAGCTGCCTGCATTTGTGTGTGTGCATGAGTGTGTGTGTGTGTGTGTGCATGTGCATGAGTGTGTGCGTGTGTGTGTCTGTGTGTGTTTGTGTGTGTGTGTTTGTGTGTGTGCGTGTGTGTGTGTGACCCGCTTCTTGTCCAGACTAGTCAGGCGAATAGTGCGAATTCTTCAGCAGTAAAAACACATTTTCATATTTTCATTACTGATATACAATAAAATATTTAAAACTTAAACTTATTTTAGCTTGTTGCCAATGCAACATTTCTCATTTTCATTTAGTTTTATTTTGATGTACTAACATAACTAAAACTGAAATAAAATTAATGCAAACTATACAGACATACTTAACAACAACAAAAATGAATAAAAATGACAAAAATAAAAACATAACAAAATTACTAAAATTTTAACTAAAAATAAAAAGGACCTAACTCAAAGTCCTAAGAACTATGATCTCAATGATACTAAAATAATACTGATACAAATAGACAATAAGTAAAAGTAGTCAAAAAAGATTTAAAAAAGAAAATAAACAGTGCAAAACTACAGAATTGAATATAAATACTGTATCAGATTATTGATGAGAATAATAATACACTTGGGGTACAAGTAAAGATTATTTTTTAAAAAGAAAATCATTTGACAGGTATTTTTTTATCTTAGAGCAGCAGTGAATGAATGTATCTCTGTGAATGTAAGAAGTGGGTGAAAATGATCCTCTTTTGCATTTCTTCTGTTTACAGTTTTTTACAATTAACAAAATTACTAAAATTTTAACTAAAAATAAAAAGGACCTAACTCAAAGTCCTAAGAACTATGATCTCAATGATACTAAAATAATACTGATACAAATAGACAATAAGTAAAAGTAGTCAAAAAAGATTTAAAAAAGAAAATAAACAGTGCAAAACTACAGAATTGAATATAAATACTGTATCAGATTATTGATGAGAATAATAATACACTTGGGGTACAAGTAAAGATTATTTTTTAAAAAGTAAATCATTTGACAGGTATTTTTTTATCTTAGAGCAGCAGTGAATGAATGTATCTCTGTGAATGTAAGAAGTGGGTGAAAATGATCCTCTTTTGCATTTCTTCTGTTTACAGTTTTTTACAATCACTAGGACACATTTCTCAATACTAAAGTCACTTTTTCAAAACTCTTCACTTAGTTTTCCTAACCATCTTTCAACTTGACACAACAGTTCATTTCACATTCAAAATGCACTAAAGCTACCGTAACACTTCATTACTGTAATATCTCAAATCAAGGCATTCTTACATAACACTAGCAAAGGTTTTCACCAAACAAACACTTTATCACTCATAACACAACAACCTAAAAACACTAACAACAGTAGCATTATACAATGTTTTCTTTTGTAAAATTTCTTTACAAAACAAGAATGATGATTCACTGCAGTTTATGTTACATGGTCCATGTTTACATTTTGGTTTACATCCAAACAAGTTTTTGTTTTGTATTTTGTTTGTACTGTGCTAGGTTTTGAACTTAAGTTGAACAGTTTTGAAAACAGTGTGTAAACGTGCAAATTTGGCTTGTTTAGTACATAAAGTTTTGGTGGTGTTTGTGTCGAAGTGAGAAAATAATTCATGTAATTTGACAGATGTCGTCAATTAATGCATGTTGTGCCAAAGCAATGATAAATGATCCACAGTTTAGCCCACATAGATTGATGCTGTGCTCGCTGTGTGAAGAGTTTTGAAAAAGTGATCTAAATATTAAGAATCGTAACAATTGTAAAAAACGTATACAAAACTGTTCATTTCAAATGATCAGCATAACAATCGAATGAACTGAAAATCAAAGTCACATGATCAGTGGCCCTCATTTGCTTTTGAACATTTTTGTTGTGATGCTGTTCTGTGATGTTATGTTTGTTATGTTTTGTTATGTCATGTTATGTTATGTTATGTTATGTTATGTTTCTTATGTCATGTTATGTTATGTCGTTATGTTATATATGTTTGTTATGTTATGTTACAGTATATGCTATATCTTATATGTTATGTTTGTTGTTATGTGATGTTATGTTATATGCTTGTTATGTTATATTATGTTATGTTATGTTATGTTTGTTATGTTATATGTCATGTTATGTTATGTTTGTTATGTTATGTCGTTATGTTTGTTATGTTGTTATGCTATGTTATATGTTATGTTATGTTATGTTATGTTATACGTTATGTTATACTATGTTATATGTTATGTTATGTTATGTTTGTTTTGTTATGTTATGCTATGTTATATGTTATGTTATGTTATGTTAAGTGATGTTATACGTTATGTTATGTATGTTATGCTGTTATATGTTATGTTATGTTGTTATGTTATACGTTATGTTATGCTATGTTATATGTTATGTTATTTTATACGTTATGTTATGTTATACGTTATGTTATGCTATGTTATATGTTATGTTATTTTATACGTTATGTTATGTTATACGTTATGTTATGCTATGTTATATGTTATGTTATTTTATACGTTATGTTATGTTATACGTTATGTTATGCTATGTTATATGTTATGTTATTTTATACGTTATGTTATGTTATACGTTATGTTATGTTATGTTATGTTATATGTTATGTTATGTTATGTTTGTTATGTTGTCATTATGTTTGTTATGTTGTTATGTTATGTTATGCTATGTTATATGTTAATAGCTGTGTAAACATTCCATTTTGTTCCACTGAAAACAGGTTTTAAACAACACGAAAAACAGCAATGAAAAGTTTCATTTTTGGTGAACTATTCCTTATTTATTTTATTTTATTATTATTATTTTTTATCTTTAATGATATAGCTTCCTTTATTTTGTTGAAGGGGTCTGTTTTGTAAAACTGTATTTAGACAACCTGTCAAATAAACTATTTAGTGAGCAAGAATCATACTATGATATATTTTCACTGAAGAATTTTCTTTTTCTTTTGAGAAAGGACTGAGTAAGTGATTAGACATAGACTTGGCAATGTAGACAATTCTACAGAATCTATCGAGCCTTTTGAACACTGTGGGAGAAATAAGGGAAGGAGGGGGGGGATAAAATAAATAAATAAGCCACAT